TTCTGTGATGCTATGTTTGTGGTTATGGATTTGTCTTCTCAACTAAAGCTGAGGTCCTCCTTGCCAAGAAGTAGCAAAACATTTGTCTCCTAGTGGGAAGTAGTAATAAATTCCATTTTTTCCTGCTTTGCCTGTGTATCCAGTTCTTGCTCTCCCCATTAAACTATCACTTGCTCAAACCACAAATCTCCTCACCTTCTTTCTGTTTTCTCCCATCCCACAAGGGAGGGKAGTGAGCAAGCAACTGTGTCTAGCTGTTATCCAGAGTCAGCCCACAACTCCAAGTGCAGCATGGGGCCTGAGATACCKGGTTTGATTTGAGCATGCTATCAGCAGTTAAAGTTATAACTGGCAGGTCCTGGGCTGGCCATGGAGCTTGTGTTCTTTAAACTAAGAGTCTCGGGTGGCTTCTGCTGTTTGCTGTGCTGCTTTACTTCACTGTGCCTGGACACYTTTTGATAAAGGCAATGGCCCTGTGCCAGGACTGGAGTACAGCCCTGGCATTGATGCTTCTCTTGTGCTGTGTGAGCTCCCTTGTGGGAAGCTTTAGGGATTACATCTCCCTCTGCTCCTCTGGGATGGATGTGTCCAGCTCTTCCTCATGGGCTCCCAAGTTCCTTGAATGTCACCACACACATTGTTTGATTATATTCTCTAGCAATGTTGCCTTGCTGTTGGGTGTGTGGAAACTGGCTTGCTCCTGGCACAAGACTAAACAACTTCTCCATGAGGTGACAAAGAAATGTGCACCGAGGCACCAGTCAGTGCTGGCAAGGTTTGTGGGAGGGTTTGGGAAGGTGCCTAGAGAATTTATCACCTTCAGCAGCCTAAGATTTTACACTTGAACAGGCACATAAACCTGTTGAACTGGCACACCACTTGAAGGAAGGTGCTTTGCCTGACCCAGTGAGACCCAATGAGTTCTGGCAATGTTTTTGGGCTTGGCATGTGCCCACTGAGTCCAGCACCATCAGAGAAGGCAGGAGGAGGAAGTGACAGTCATCAGGGAGGGGGAAATCRCTCAGGCCCTAAACCCCAAGTTTTAAAGGAGGTGCAAGATCTGTAGAGAAATTACAGCCACAAGCCAGGTGAGCGGATTGCTACCTGGTTGCTCTAGTGTCAGGATACTGGGGTCTGCTGTCAGGAGTCAGCCAGCACACCAGGCAGCTGGAATCCCTAAATAGGAACACTGGGACTGACAAAGGGAAGTGGAACCCACAGCCTTYGGACATGGTTCTTGTTGATAATGAAAGCCAGTTATCCCCACAAGGATGACTCAGTATGATGACTGGGCAAGTGGATCACCACTGCAAAAAGCATTCAGTGCTTGAGGAAAGTAAAGGTCCATGTGTAGAGGGTGTGCATAACTCAGCAGTGTTGAATACCAGCACTGTGGGGCTGRTGACCTGGACAGACCCTTAACCACTAATTGCAGACTGATTGTTCCAATGGCTCCCAGGGTTCAAAGAGAACTTCCCCTCCTCCCCCTGACCAAAGGTCTAGGTCTTGGCTGCCAGAGATGCCCCACAGAGTCAGCTTTGTCCTGCCAGAGGGAAAGGGGGATGCCATGCCAGCCTGTGGTTCCTCCTGCATAATCAGGAGGAAGAAGAAGTGCCCAATGTGCCCAATGTGCCAACCTCAAATCTAGAAGCAACACATGGACTGCAAGGAGACCACTGCTACAAAGCACCCATCCAAGAAGGCTGATATGATGGCCTGGCATGTGATCCACAGAAGTAGAAGGCTTTGCTGGACACAACTGTGCAGCATATCCTACCATTATCAGATTACAAAGGAGCAGAACCCATCTGGATTTTTGGAGTGACCTAGACTGGGAATGTCAGGGTCAGTTATCTGTAGCTTGGTGAGCCCATGAARCATCAAGACATCTAGGGAAAGATGCAATACGCAGGTGGGCTCGTGTCTGAGGGGTGCATCTGACCACTGAAGCATCACACAGGCAGCAGATGGCAGTTCTATGAAGGGCAGAGAGAGGGGTAATTCAGAAAGATGGGCAAGARGAGCATCAGGCAACGCAGCACCAAAGCCTTTTTTCCATAACTAATGTCCACACTAGGATTGTATTGTCTTTGTCTGCATGAAGAATCAGCATACTGAGATTTCACAATGGGGAGATGCTGACGCAGGGTTTGGGCTTCTCAGTACTATATGATTACAAAGAACAGGCAGTAGCTTCTGCTGATACAAGTCAGCATGGTTCCATCGACTGCAGCCACCTCACTGACTTAGGCAAGACTTAATCAAATACATCTGTGATCACTCTCCTATTATTCCTTCCCTCAGGGGTCTCAGTGCTGTTCAAGACACCGACAAGGATGTAAATCAACTTTGTGTCAAACACAGCTTCAAAGTCTGTCTGTCCACAGCCCATATTCCATCCAAATTTAATTTGGTAAGATTTATCTGAGCCTGRTGTAAGTAAATTAATCATGCAGAGCATTGACCTATCCTACCCCAGGCTCCTGTGCCCGTCCTACATGTTTATTTGGAAGGTAATCTAATTTTCTGCAAATGTGCTTATCTAACTGGAAAGCAAACTGTGATTGGTACCTGAGAAGGAAGAAAGCTTTCCATGGCTCAGTGAATTCTTTTATATACATAAAAGAATATGAAATACAGAATCTGCTGTGTTGTTGTTGATCTGCCCTGAAATTATTTGCTGGCTCCCTGTTCTTTGTCTCAACATATTTGTGAAGCACAGTTAAGATCCTAAGCTCCAGTCAGTTCAAAACTGGGCATAATGCACCAGCCATTTTCTCTGGGTTTCCCATAAAGAGCTTAAGCAGCTCTGGAGAGGTGTTGGGTAACACCCTCTTSCCTACAAGGTACCTTTGGCAAATGAGACTGACATCCTGAGTGATGTTTGCTAGCAAAATGCCGAAGCAAAAGAGCCCACTGAGTAGCCAGCAGTGGTATAACCAGGCTTTGTCACACAGAAGAGAGTCAGAGCACAACATATTGACCTGAGTAGCAATGGAAAAGATGTGTCATGCTCCTAAATATATACAATCACAACCAGTGCTGAAACAATTAGAGGACAAAACTGTGATTGATAGCAAATATCTTCTAGACACAAGCTATATTGGACCTCACTCACCTTTGCCTCCCAAGCTGTATCTTGCACTTTGCCAGTGTGGTATGAGAGGGATCAGAGCCAGTTCTGCTTCCCAGCAATATTTCCCTYCTACCCCATGAGATGAACAAGAGAAGAGCTGGGAGGGTGGTACACTGGTGAATGCTGGGGCAGGGATGATAGATGGATGATCCCAACAACAGGCAGAGGGTGTATCATGTTATTTTCCCCCTTTCCAGCCATCTCTAGTGTTTCAGCTCTTTTCTCTTGGGGACCCACATGTCCACATTCACTAGCGTTCCCTATTTTCATCTGTTTCAGAGGACAGCCTTCTACCCCACAGCACCCTTGCCGAGTATGGTAGCATGAAGACCCCTGCTGCAGACCCTCACCCAGACACTGACAAGATGGAGATGTGTGGCTTGTGTGCGTGCAAAAGCTGTAGAATGGCCAGCTGAGAGCATAGGAATAGCTGTCCTCCACTAGATGTGTACAAATTAAAATAAAATAGAGCAGAAGGATGAGCTGATCAGAATAGACGGTCCCGTCGCCAAGCCATCCGGCTGTAGGCTGCTGCCCTCCTCTGGCAAACTGGGACAGCAGTCCTGATCCCCAGAGCAGCTCTGTATTGCTGAAACGTACCGAGCTCAGCTGCTGGCTCCGGCTGACAGAAATTACAGGTTACAAACGCCCAGCTGCCATCTCGCTGTTTGTCTGAAGTGGAAAATCAGCACCCTGGGGCATGTAGCTTCTCTACCCTGCCAGGGAAGCCTTTGTGGATGGAAAGGACTGTGTGCTGCTCAGGGAGCATTTGCCATCCTGAACCTGCGTGTGACACTCTTAGGGTTGAACAATAATATCCCCGCAGAGAGGGCGCGGATCTGCGGATCATCTCCCTTAGTGAAAGCTCTTTATTGCTATTGTTGGGCTTTGTTTCTAATGTCTTTATCTCGGCAACACAGAAATTGTTGACTCGTTGGCTCAGAAGAATCTCATGAAATTCAACAAGTGCAGGGGGCTGCATCTGGTGGGGGCAATCCCATAAATGAGCACAGACTGGGAGAGGAATTTTTTGAGAGCAGCTCTGAAGAGAAGCACTTGCGACTCTCATTGTATGAAAGGCTGAACACAACCTGGCAAAGTGTGCTCACAGCCCAGAAACCCAACCATGTCCTGAGCTACAGCAAAAGCAGTGTGGGCAGCAGGGTGAGGTAAGGGGTTCTGCCCCTCTGCTCTGCCCTTGTGAGAGTCCATTTGCAGTGCCGTGTCCAGCTCTGGGGTTCTCAGCACAAGAAAGACATGGACCTGTTGGAGAGGTCCAAAGGAGGGCCATGAAGATGAGCACAGGGCTGGAGCACCTCTCCTACAAAGACAGGCTGAGGGAGCTGGGTGCGTTCAGCCTGGATGGGGCTTCAGGTAAAATCCCACTGCGGCCTTCCAGCCCTTTGAGGGGGCTTATGAAAAGAAACGAGTGAGACTKTTTAAAAGAGCCAATAGTGACAGGATATGGGGCTATGGTTTTAAACTGAATAGGAGTAGGTTAGATTAGCTATTAGGAAGAAATTCTTTACCTTGAGAGGGTCGTGGTACTGACACAGGTTGCCCACAGCAGCTGTGGGTGATTCCCCATCCCTGGAAGTGTTCAAGACCAGGTTGGATGGGGCTCGGAGCCACCTGKTCTAGTGGAAGGTGTCTCTGCCCATGTCAGGGTTTGGAACTAGATGATCTTTAAGGTCGTTTCCCTGCGCATCACGGAGGGAGGGAGCCGCTCCGCGATGCGGCACCGGCTGAGGGCGGGCATAGCTCCTCCCAGCCGCACGGGGGCGCTGCGCCGCCAGCTCTGGCCGGGCCCTGCCGTGAGGCAGTGCCTACAATACCCAGCATGCCCCGCGGAGTGACCGGAAGCGGCAGTCCGCGGGCGGAAGCGGCGGGCCGGGGCGCGATGAGGGGCGCCGGGAGCAGCGCGGCGATCCGCGCCTGGGCTGGGCCGCTCATGCTCCCGATCCCGGCATGGCTGCCCCCGGCTCCTCGCAGAGGTGAGAGGCGCCGCAGTGCTCGGTGTCCTGGCCGACTGACAGCTTCCGTGCGCGGTTGGCCAGGCGGCCYCTCGGGGTGGGCAGCTGCCGGGATCGGGTGACCGCGGCCCGGGTCTGTGAGCGGCGCTGGGGCTGCCCAGGGCGCTGGCCGGGCTCGGTGTCTGCAAGTGGCCGCGGGCCCGKCCCTCAGGTGCTGTGTGAGGGAGTGCTGAGCGCCTTCCCTCGGGGCTCTAACAAGGGGTGAGTTGCACGGGCGGGAGCAGCCCGGTGAGCAGCGTACGGGGCTGTCAGGGGGTSTTTGGGACGGGAGGAGCGGTGGGAGTGTCCCAAAGGGTGCACAAGGGCGTCACCGAAAGGTGTCTCAGGTAGGATTTTGTGCAGTGATGGTCTCAGCCCTGGGTTGGGAGAGGAGCATCCAGTCGAGACTGCARGAGTGGACTAGTGGGGACAGGAGCAGCTTGGCGAGGCAACCAGAACTGTAATATCAGCTTTCCTGAGACAGTGTCTCAACCCTGTGAAAAAAGCCCACCAATGCGTTTAGAAGACAAGAGCTGTGTGTTTAAAAGCTGGTACAGCTCCATGAAAACGGGTTGGTTTTCATTATTTGTGTGTAGTATTTGGTGCATCTTAGCTCTAATACTGTCATTAATTTGGGTGCTGTGGCTGGTTTAGTTATAGCCAAATCTTTATAGTATTTGTAAAAAAGCACATAACTTGATTTGTCTAGTAGTGGCAAAATATGAATTCCCTGTTGCTGAAATGATATAAAGCTTTTGAGTAAAGATCGGGATAAAACACAGTGCCAAGTCTGGATAAGACACRGTAAGTTTTCAAATAAGCATGGATTAAGAAGTAACAGGGCTGCTTAGATAACAAAGAATTAATCAGAACAGAATTTGTAAAATGCAAAGCCACACAAACATAAGGTGAAGAGGAACATAAAAGTAGGAGAAGCAGTGAAACATGTTTGTGGGAAGGCACTCATATCATAAATGGAGAGTATCTTTAATACCTGAGGTTAACTAATACTTATTTAGAGATTAGGTATACTTAATCTCTGAGGTATTAGATGCAAACATCATGTCCCTTTACTGCCCACTTACTTTACTGGTGAACCAATAAATGAATTCATCATGAAAATTAGCCTTGCATATATTCTTAAAAAAAGGAATGTTCTTTATGTTCTCACAAGCCACCCTCCTTGCTGAAAAGGGTAGTGATGGAAGAAAATGTAAAAAGAATGTGATTSAGGAATTCTCTGAAAATGACAGCTTTTAATTAGATACAAGGAAGAAATTCTTTRTTGTGAGGGTGGTGAAGCACTGGCATAGATTTTCAGAGAAGGTGTGGATGCCCTACCCCTGGAAATGTCCAAGACCAGGCTGGATGGGGCTTGGAGAAACCTGGTCTGGTGGAAGGTGTCCCTGCCCGTAGCAGGGGTGTGGGAACGAGATGATCTTTATGGTCCCTCCCAACCCAAACCATCCTGTGACAAAATAAAAAGCTGCTGGAATTAAGATTCAACAGTTTAAATAAAACAGCAATGAATGCTTAACTGCATGAAGTCATTCAGTGTTTTACAAGTATATATGTGATGTTTCCCAAGTATTATAAAACAATTAATTGGCCAYGGAGGTTTATTTGTGTTGTATCAGAATGCTTGGCTGTTGCAGTTACATGAATGCACTTAAGATTCATCTGTGAGTCCTAGTTGGTGTAAATTCCCTGTGGAAAAGGGATTGATGGTTGCTGGTGCGTGCTGTAACCCAGCTTTTTGTTGCAACATCCATGCAGCTTTTCTGTGATGAAAGAAATTAAAATTAGTGTATTGCATGATAAACCAATCAGGTTAAGATTAAGGCATGTTTTGTTACTTCCAGGTTTGGCTGCCACATTTGTCAGGAAGTCATATGATGTCAGAAGGGTGGATATCACTCCCTTGGAGCAGAGGAAGGTGACTTTTGATACCCATGCTTTAGTGCAAGATCTGGAAGCCCATGGTAAGTGATATCTGATAAATAATTCCAAGGAAAATTTTTAATATGAAGTACTGTAACTTTGAGTGCTATCAGTTTCCCCAGAGTACCAGTACTCAATGGTATAAAATGTTTTGGCAGCCTCTTGAGGAGGSTGGTGAAGGAGGGGCATCTGATTGCTGTGTAATACAACTATTACATTACATTTACCTCCTTTGTAGCTGTAGKCAGGTTTATGTAGTGTCTGCAGCTGAGGAACATAATACAGTTAACAAATATAAAGTAACAGTTAAAGACTTTTATAGCACAAATGGAGCTTTTAAAGAAATTCCTTCTACTAGCCAGCTAGTAATAACTGAAGGGTTTTTTTCCTATTCAGAACTGTTTTCAGCAGCGTGGTGCTGTGATACATTCTTAATGCCTGCACTGTGGTTGTAAGTGAGACTGACTGAAGTCAACAAAGAGTCCATCCAGTCCTGGGTGTGTCTCCTGACAACAGCTGTGAGTCAGGGCCTGCAGAGGAGTGTTAAAACAGGACACATGTATGTCACACATCCCCTTGTACTTTCCAGGTCTCCAATTTCTGTCACCCTGGAGGTATTTTGAGACAGGTGTGAGTTTAGTAAGCTTTAGTGGAAATCTTTTCACAAGTTTCTTCAGTCTCTGAGCCACTACAAACTGATTAATACCCAAAACATCCTTTTTCATGGAATTTCAGACATCCACATCTTTTTTTTATGCATAATCTGATGTCTGTGAGGTGAATTTGAGTGCCCACTCAGCTCTTTTGTGGGAAGAAGGAGTGAACATTTAACATCTCATGTCACTCATGATTATGCAAACTCCTGTCATATTGCTCCATCACTGTTTTCCAAACAGAAGAGTCCTAGCTTGTTGCATTTTTCCTAAAGCAGTAGCTTTTCCATRTTTTTAACTATTCATTATGCCTTTCTGTTAATATTTTCTGCTTCTGTCACATTCCATTCCATTCCATTTCATGTTTTCAGGAAACAGTGCTGGCAGTACTTGACAACTGAATGTCCTGTGGATCTGAATAGTAATATCATGTTGCGTCTGTTGTGTTCTCTGTTCCTTTTCCTAGTAATTCCAAAGGGCTTGGTTCACTTTWTTGATCACTGCTAAGCAGTGAGCTGATGTCTTCATCAGACTAGCAACTATCTTTTAAAATCCCAAGTGACAGTAGAAACTTTGTACAGTCAGAAGGTGTTTCCACTGTTYGGGTCTAATAATAATATGTGTTAGTAGGTAAAAGACTCACARTAGTCTGCTAACAATGTTTATTTTCTTCATGCTTGTCAGATTTGACAGGCTGTACTTCCCTACATCTCTCTAGAACTGCATTTAAAAAGTGGCATTTTTATTTTCTAGTCTGTGAGTAACCAARGTAGGCTGTGAAATGTTACTTGTCCCAAGGATTGATTCAGCTATTTCTTCTTCAGGTTCCTCTAGAAGTTGTGGGGTGAAATCTGCCTGGCACTGGTTGTTACTCAGTTTAATTTGTTTCCTAACTTCTACAAATACTTCAGTACCACAGTGACTGGTCTCTATAGGTAAAACCTGTACACGCCACAAAAATAAGAGAGCCATTTTAGTTTTTCCAAAGCTTGCTGCAGGTGGTTTTCTGGCTCCAGTCTCTTGCTCATATAAACTGTTCCTCATTTTCTAAACTTCCACAGAACAGAGTCCTTTTTTGCTATGGAGGAAGAGCAAAATAAGGAATTGGCAAGAGCTTATGTAAACCTGAAAACTGAGAGAAACAGAAGCAATACTATTATCACACCTCTTTGTGAAAGGAAGCTGTCATAAAGCATGTGAAACTTTTTTAGACATGTAAATCAATGGTGCATCTAGATGGTACCAGTATTTCAGAAGGGGGAAGTGGCACGGTTCTCTAAACAGTTTGCCTTGAACGCATTTTTCAATGTTAATTTTTCAATGTTAATTTAGCCCACTTTATAAAATGGAGTAGTTGAAACATATCAGATTGCTGGAAATAAATGTCTAGGGCAAAAGCTCTTAGCACTTGACCAGATATGGCTGAATTGAGAGTAATTTTTTTCCCCCATTATTCACTACATGTTATCTTTAACACTCCAAAATTACACCAAGCAGACAAAATGTAATTTTTATCATCAGAAAGCAAAAATCCCCGCTTGATTTCATTCTGCAGGAAATGGATGCAGCAGTTTAAGAACCAGTTTTGCATGTGCTCATATCTGTGCAGGACAATTTCAGTATATGCAGAATTACTATTTTATAGAATGCATGCTTTGTAGCTCAAGGTAAGTTTGGTTTTAACAGAAAGTTAAAGATCATTATGAAGTAAAGTTTTGCTAGATTATTTTTATAATGCATGAACAGCTGGATCTTGTATGAAGAAATTTGGTCTTTCCGTCAGCTGCATGTATAGACTTCTAGTATATTAAAAATTATTGTGCTTCAGATTTTTGCAGCATTAAKTCTGTGTTTTTCCCAGTTAAAAGTCACAGTGACTGGCTCCTGGCTGTGAGTTTTCAGTCATTGTGTGAATTCCCATGTGCCACTGTGGTTAGGTGTGGCATTTGGGTGTCCCGGGTTATTATGCAGCTCTTGCTCTTCATCCAGACTTTTAATACCACCCTAACTTGTCACCCTTCAATTGTCCCCCAGGCTTTGGGAAGGAGCAAGCACAGACCATCGTGTCGGCGTTGATAACCCTGTCCAATGTCAGCTTAGACACCGTCTATAAGGACATGGTTACACAGGCCCAGCAGGTAAAAACTCATCTGTGCTGTGCAGCCAGAATGGCTCATGTTTGCATCTTTAAAACACAAGTGAGCAGCTCTCTAGTGCTATAAACACCTCACTGTGTCAGGTTTTCCTAAGTTTCACTTGGGACTTTAAAAGATAATTATAGGCCCTGAGCAGCCTCCATTATAGTCTGACTACTTCATTGAACACAATGAAGTTTTTACAGTTCCTGGTAAAATGTCAGTTGCATTTACACTGAGGAGCTAATATGCCTCATAACCATCTTAAAATATTTATTATCAACACTGACTACATTATAAAACACAATGTTTCTGCCTTATACAATTTCATGCAAATTCTATTTGGGACGCTGACTTTCTTTGCATATAATAGGATTTCCAAAAAGGAAGGTTTTCATTTTGATGAAAAGAATTACAGAGACACAAGTTCTTCTCGTCTTCTGAGATTTTTCAGGAGAAAAAAAAAGTTAGACAACTTATATTACAAGTAAATGCCAGTAAGATAAAAATTTGTTAGAAGAAAGGCTCAGCAGTTCAAATAAAATAGCAATGAATGCTTAATTACATTAAGTAATTGAAGAAGAATGGCACATAATTTCAGCTTGCATAGCCTTCTGGAGTAATGATCAAAACCATCTGGTTTTGATCTGTGCATGGGAGCATCTTCCATGCTAAATCGTAGGGTAACTTCCTTATGYTGGGTGAAGGAATATTGCTTTCAAAATTTTTAAATACCAAGTTTCTTCCATTATTTTCTGGTTTGGTTTTTTTTTTTTCTGTGTTTATACATAGTGGTTGAATTCTGAAGTTGTTACTTCAAACCCCAGGAAGGCTTTTTTCCAGTGATTTACTTGCGTCCATCATACACAAGCTGAGAGGACCGTAGGATACTCATTATTTGGCTTTCAATGAGCTGGTTAGCAAGAAAAGGAAGTTGCAGCACCTTATTAGGAGCTGCATTCAGACCAACAATTAATGCTTCTGAGGCTGCTGAAAGTTCATTGAAAGTGGAAGAGCCTGCAGGGACTGACCTGTAGTTTCAGATCTATTTAATTTCATAGTTACTTGGACTAATACCTTTTCCTTTTTGCTYAAATTCAGAGTTGCTGCATGAAAGCAACAAAAAAGCACAAAACCCAAACCTCTTGGGTCTTTCAAACAAATTGCAGCTATAAAATTGTCTATTTCTGTCACTTTCTTCTTGAGAGACTCCCCACATTTGTCCTTTGCAGTAGCTAATTTCATAGTTTCAGACCTGAAAATTTCTCCTTTACTTGCCAGAAAGTGTACAACTTAATCAATGGCATGATTATTGTTTCACAGGAAATTACTTTACAACAGATAATGGCACATTTGGACTCCATTCGAAAAGATATGGTTATCCTGGAGAAAAGTGAATTTGCAAACTTAAGAGCAGAGAATGAGGTACTAATAAATTTTTTCATTAAGCAMTTTCAGCTGCAATATATGTTGGGTTTTACCTGTGGTACATTTTTGTGGAACAAAATATGAATGTAGAAGTAATTCTGGATACTTTTATCAGAATTGAAGAGTCTGTATGTTACAACTTCAGAGATCCCATAAAAATATATTTCACATGCTAAGACCTGCTCAGATCYTCTGTAAAGGATGCTAAGATGTGTACATTTTTTAATCTTCTGTAATTTTATTTAAGGGCAACTGGTAGTTTCTGGCTATTAMCCATATAGTGCAGGAAGAGGAGTCAGCCATTCCTTTGCAACAGTTTAACTAATTTCATGATTGAGACATGTTTTGCTCTTACTTGATGGCATATTGTTATTTTTCTGCTGTCTTTAGTCTCAGAATAACTTTATTTAGAGCAAAATTCCCAGCAGATTGTATATGGCTGTACATTTGAACACATTGTTACCATATTTAATCAAGAACGAATTGCCCCATTGGGAGGAAAAATGAGGGAAGAATAATTGCATAGATGCAGTGGTAACAACTTACATGACTGATTAATTTGGTTAACAGTTTCCTGAATTTGTAAAAATCTTTTTTTKTTTTTCTCCTCTGCACTTAGAAAATGAAAATTGAATTAGATCAAGTTAAACAGCAGTTAATGGTAAGTGGACAGCAAGTACCTACAGACTCCCATTAAGGAGAATAAATAGCTACTTTCATAATCTTAATTTGCTTTAAAGACTGAAACCGGTAAAATCCGAGCTGACAGCAAGCTAGACATAAACCTGGAAAGGAGCAGGGTGACAGATATGGTAAGTTGGTCTGTGAAGATGCCCTTATTAGCTCTGTGTTGTGTTTCAGTTGCTACAGTTGTGATKTATCTTTTATCTACAGTTTACAGATCAGGAGAGGAAACTGATGGAAGCAACCACAGAGTTTCATAAAAAAGTAAGTATTGACATTAATATTGCATGTTAATGTAAACCCCAAACTTTGGTGAAAGCTAATACGTTTTTGGCTACCATAAAGCAAAAGGCCTGGGTGTATCACTCAGGGCTGTTGTAGGTATTTCTTGCCTGTGGGATTCACATTAAGCTTCAGTCAGCAGAGGGAGACATGCAAGCCTTGTCCCTCGTTTCCCAGGTGCCTTGCCACAGGCTAGCACAGGTGGGATGTGAGCTATCATGCTGCCCTTTTCCCAGTGTTAACTGATGGGCTGTACCACAGGGATGGTGCAGGTRCCTACAGCCAAGCAGTTCAAAGACCGGAAGTCCTCAAAGGTCCTAGAGGACACTGAAGTCTAAGAGGCTGAAAAGGGACAATGTCCCATCTTGAGCATATCCTTCCTTTTTGGGAAATGCCTTGTGAATGCTTAAACCTTTGTTTTTCAAAAATGTAGGAATACTGTTCTATATGCTGTAGAATATCTTCTTTAGGTGGCACTGGCACATCAGAGACAAAAGTGTGTCATGAGGGTGGTGAGGCACTGGCACAAGGTGCCCAGAKAGGCWGTGGATTCCCCATCTGTGGCAGTGTTCAAGGCCAGATGGGAAGGGGCCCTGAGTAGTAAAAGTGTCCTTGCCCATGGCAGGGGCGTTGGAAAGGGGGGGGATGGTCTTTAAGGTTCCTTTCAGCCCAAGCCAGCCTGTGATTCTGTGATCATTGGAGTTCTCTCTTTTTTTTGTGTCTATCCCTTCAGTATTCTTCCTGGACAGTATGAAGCAATGTTTTGCGTTTTCTAATGTCTCTTAGCAGGGTTAGGGTGGAAATTTGTTTCTTATTTCTAGTAGCATGGTATTTTAGTTCAGCTTTGGAAAGTTGAAGGGGCTAGAGACCATTGTCAAATATATGCTGTATTTTAATATTTCAGGATTCAAATACCAACAGCATTATCTCAGAAATCAGTAATAAAATTGACACTGAAATAGCTTCCTTAAAAACGCTCATGGAATCTAATAAACTTGACACCATTCGCTATTTGGCAGGTATGTGATAGGCAAGGAGGTGAGTACTGGTACTGTATCGTGGATGTATCTAATTCTRTTCAGGAGTACATGCTAAAAGAGACCTCTTGCAGCAGTAGACAGCTGGGATTGGGTGGAGGAGATATTCCTTCCCCCCTCCAGCTGGGAGAAATGTGACAGAGGACACAGAAGAGGTTGGAGCATGCCACAGTAGGACTAGGATTGTGCCTAGGGCTGAGATTAGGACAAATATGGACATGGTTTAAAAAAATTGGAAGCCTAAATACTTTATCCAGTTTGACAGTATCTCTGCTTGCTGCTGCAGCTGTTGATGTGATGGAGTTGCTGCAGAAGTTTTGCTGAGGTCATTTACATTATACTGAAAGTTTGCTGTCATTCAGGACTGGTCTGAGAGTGACCAGTTATGCCTCCCATTCAGTCTCCACAGACACACAGTTTAAATGTCGCAGCACTTGTTCTGCTTGTCATGAAAGTACAACTTTCAGTCTGATTTGAGATTTGTCTTCTCAATATATACAYAACCAGTGAAGTTTTCATTGTGTRGAAACTGGATAAAAAGAGATTACTGCATTATATCTGGAAATAAGGTTCAAAGGGTTATTCTAACACCAATTGAAACAGCCACATAACAAATCCAAAGGACAATTCATCCAGCCTCAGGAGTGCTGCCTGGATATCCTGGTGGTGGGTCAGATATGTGGATGAGTGTTCATTGTCAAGTTCATTGTGATTTTAGTTCCATGGGAAACCTATGATGTCTAATACGAGCCCTGGTACAGTCACCTCTCCAACAAAGAAGTTTCCAGTAGCGGGGTGACAGTACTAAAAGCCTGTGGTGCAGTGTAATATCTGGGGTAGCTGTTKGGAATATGTCCCTGAAAATGTGGTTTGTGAGGCCCATCTCAGCACTGTGGCTGTACTGCTGTGCAGGGAATGGCCAAGACCAGGCATTGGCTTCTGGAATTGTTATGTCACACATTCAGTAGTCTGGGAGCTTTAGGAGGCTCTGCTCTAGAGTTGCTATTATTCTTCCATCTGTTTGCAGCTAATTTCCTCTATGGATAAAGTGGTGCAACAGCACTCAGCTAATTGGCTCCTTTCTTTGTTGTTTGCTTTTTTTTTTAAACAGCCTCAGTGTTCACTTGCCTAGCAATAGCACTGGGATTTTACAGGTTCTGGAAATAAATCTACATGGAATGACTGCACTAAATACAGACAGAAAAGGCCACCCAAGCAACACCACTTKGATGATCACGTTTGCGCTGTAGATAACCTTGATACCTTTTTATTTTGATATTCTTACTGTATAATAAAAATGTTTTCTGAATATGAAATACTAAAGATCAAAATAATTGGGGGGAAGTAGCCAGATAGTAATATTTCATTGCCTCCTATTCAATACTGTATTTATTTAAAAATATTTCTTATGCTATACCAGAAAGTGTTTCCTAATATTTTTTAGAAGCAAATTTGCTTTCTTTTTGGAAAATTCTCACTCTCAGCTCCTTTCAAAATGGAAATATTAAACATTTTACAGACCCTTGAAATGGGAATACAGTTCCCAAATTAGAGTTCCCAGTATAGGGATGCTAATGCCAGACTTCAACATATCTAGTCTGATCCAAGTAAATTATTCTTAAACATAGGTTCTGGATTTTGCCTTCAGTCTGTTTCATTCTTCTTTGATGAAATGAGCCCTGTTCCTTTGGGTTTTTTATCTACATATATAAAAACACACTCCAAGGCCTTTACTAAAGAACTTTCCGTTTTTCTTTAAAACTGGTTTACCTAAATTTAAAATGTCACGTATGACTAAAGTATCTCCATAGATTTATTTTCTTTAGTGTCTCTTGCAATTTCCATAACTCCAGATGTCAGCAGAATGGGAGAGCTTCTCTGCCTTTCCAAGGGGAAATGCCTCCACTCTCAACAACTGTGTACAGCCCTGGGGCAGATAAGTGCTCATAACTTCCCCCTGTCAAGTAGCACAGRGTATTTCCAAGAAACCTGCACATATTTTCTGGCCATAGCATCTGTCTTTGAACATGAAAATACTCTGCATCTCAGTGTGGTGGTGGTGGTGGTGGTGATCCTCCTCCAGACTTATCTGTAATCCTGTGGGACACGCTGACCCTCCTGACCACTCTGCCTTCTGCAAAGACTTGACAACTCTCATTGCAGAGTTGCARCATAGGTGGATGCCTTCCAAAACTGAAGCGGTTCCATCTTGTTGAGAACAAATGTATATGCTTAGTTTGATCCCTTTAGTAARATAGTTTTAAAAGTCTTTCTGGATTAAGTTTGAAGTAAGAATAGGCCTTTAATGGGCTGAGGACTATGTAGTAAGTACTGACTAGTGGTAATTTTTTTATTGCTATTTTATTCTGTTTACAGTTGAACTTGCTGGTATTCTGCAAATTCTTACATTCTCTGCATTAAATTATTTATCATCTTTACTCAAGAAAATAAAATTAATTTCTTATATTTGCTGTCTGGCTATCTGAGAGTTCCTACATAAAAGTTTATCACCAATGGTGATGCAGGCAATAGCTCATGTGCTGCGGCTCCTCACCACCATCATTTCACACACTGGGCTCTTGATACAAGGCTTATGCTGTTGGTGTGCCTCTCCTTCACTGTGCACACAAAAACATGGATTGTTACTTTTCAGTACTTCTGAAATTGGCAGAGATTAAGTTTTCTTTGGTACTAAGGAAAGGACAGATYGGGACTTCAGCCCTAAAATAATTAAATCTCAAAATGAGGGTTTCAGAGGGAAAATAATTTCAGGATAGCACACAGATACGAGAAAAACTTTTATGTGTTTAGCCATTAAATTATTTTTAGGTGTGGAGGAGAGGTCAGGGTTGCTGTTTCTAACCACAAGCTGCCCCATCCATAATCTGGTGAAGTCTTCAGCCCTGAGTTAGAGACCCACTACTGCAGGTCAGCTGGCACCTCACAGAGGAGTTGCTTCCTGCCTTTAGGAATGACTGAAGATGAAAATCAAGGGGCTCCTGTCTGCAGCTGAGAAKTAACTCTCCTGGACACTATTGAGCTTCCACACTGAATATTCTTGGAGGTAATGTGCATTTTTTCCATCCAAAGGTAGTAGTACAAAATAGACCAGTGGAGGGAGATASTTTTCTCAGAACTAAGAGGGCCTGTGACTTTCTTCTTGTTACGCTAGAGAACTAGAGAACTAAAAACATAGTTCAAGTAGAAGGCAGAGAACCACAACTCATCAGTGGAGCTGGGTTGTGCRAGCACTTTGCATTATCTGGAATATTGCTTTTATACCTCCACAGTCTTCTGCCCCTCCTTTGAGGCTCGTTCCTCAGCGTAGTTTCACAAACACTCTTCCCGGCCTGCAGGCTGGCTGCTTCTTTATTTTCGTTTTGTCTTTGCAAGACTTGGCCATTGTCTCAGCTTCCTGGAACAAAGAATACTGCAGCCATTAAACAGCAACCACTGAAAGTATTTGAAAGATCTGGGAGTAACCACAGAATACTGTATTCAGACTGAAGCTGAAGGCAGAGCGCTGTCCCAGGGCATGGGATGGCTGYGCAGCACTGTGAGAGGGGAAGGCCCCTTGGCTGTAGCAGTCACTCAGAGCAGTTCCTGAAAACAGAGCTGCCTCAATAGCTGTGCCCTGTCCCAGCCACTAAGCCTAAAGCGCAAATATTTCAGAGTGCTGTGGGTAAAAAAACACCACTACTACAAATAGTGTGGGGACTGACACATCAGGTGTGAACAGCCAGAAAGGCAGCTTGGTTAGAAGGGGAAAATTAACCAGAAAAAAACCTGCCTGATTAAAAATACAAAATGTTTGCCAGCCTGGGAATCATGAGGCTSAGAAGCAGAAACATACTTGAAAAGTGCAGCTGGCCTCTCTGAAGTACAGCTGTGGCATGATGCGTTCAGAGCCACACTCATACCATCAACAAGCACAAAAACAAGGGACTGCAGAGGCAATTGACTGAAAAGGTGGAAAATAGTCTCGGAAATAAAAAATGGTCTGAAAGAAGTATCATCATCTGTTGCATGTGCAGGTAAAAGTAAAAAATAGAAACAACAGCATCCCAGAAACAAGCAACGGCTGCTTGCAGTAGTGTTGTCCTCTTCCCTCTTATGTTTTTATCATATAGAGTTTAATTTTTAATTCAAAATGGAACTTCTCTAAGAATTTGCAATGCCGCATATACTTTTCCTTTCCCAGATTGAATTTTCTGCATGAACTTTCTAAGAGGTCTTGGACTCTTATTCATTATGCCTGATTGACTCCAGGTTTTGCCATGGATTGAGACCGTGTCATTAAATTTGTCTGCCTCTGGGGACCCGCAGTTGCAATCTCTACACCCACGTACACTGGGTAACCCTTTAGGTGGTGACAACATCTCTCCTGAAGCACCAGTCCAGTTTCGGGAACAGGTACCAGTCAAGGGGAGTTGCCATTCACTGGATATGCGGTGTGGAAATACTCAGGGATTAGCCCACTCCTTTTGTTAATATGAAATAYCGGTGCTTCTGTGACAGGGTACAAAAAGAAACGGATATCCTTTCATACTGTCAAGGACAAAGACTGCTGCTCACTTCAGTGTCCCAAGCTGAAAGCTGCAGCACATTTTCTCTAGTATTTCCTAGCACCACACTTGGAAATCTTAGAGGAAGGAAACGTGCCCAAGCAACATGCCTCTGTATCATACCCAGGGGAGTTGGCGGCACTCACCGCGAAGGTGGCAGAGGGGGTGCGGGTTTTCTGCCGGCTCTCTCTGAGCTGGCTTATCTCAGCGCGGTAATCGTCCAGCTGGCTCTCCAGCTTCTCCCGCCTGACCCGCTCGTATTCCAGCTGGGCCTCCAGCTCCCTCACGGCCCTGCCAGGAGACAAGCGAGCATAAAGTACATCCAAATCTGCCCGGCTCCACGCGGTGCTGTGCCTTAGCCAGAGAACAGGTCAGTCACGCAGAAAGCAGCGCCGCACGCCTCACGCCAGCTGTGATCAGGCTCCAGACCCCTGGAGACAGCTCGGAACAGCTTTCCCTTCTCGGCTGCCAGCGGTGCTCAGCGCAGTGTGACCACGAGATGGAGCCGTCTGCCCACACACCGAGCCCGGGCTCCGGTCCCTGGGACCGGGTCAAGCTCCAGCTGCGGGGGAAGGAGAAGAGCCCAAGCGGCAACTGAATTATGAAACAGAGTGAAAACACAAACCGGTGTTCTGGAAAGATCAGGGRCAGCTTTTTCATTCACATCTGGTGCTTCTACATCCTTTCTATTGATTKGCTTAGGCASGGATGAGGAATACTCAGAAGACAGYTTGCATGASTGGCTTATACACAGTTGCACAAGATCTCATTRGTCACACCCWCAACGGCTYCTAAATTATTCGAGATTCCTGGAAYTGTTTGGCTGAGACATAATATACACATAAACTGAGTCTCTGGAGTTGAGCTGGCTTTCCACTATATCAGGATGAATTACCACAGCTATAAAGATGGAAGATCACTGAAAGGAAAGGGATCTGACCTGTGCGTTCAAACAGCACAGCAGGAAAGCTCTCAGCAAGGCCTCCTAWGTTTCCCTGTTTCCTGGAGTGAAGAATTCCTCACTCAGGCCCTTTGAGTTACCAATCAGCCTTACTGCAACAATGGCCTGTGCTCAGTGTTCAGGGAACAGCTGACTTCTTCCATGCTTCCAATTAAAGAGGCACAGCTTCAAAACTGTGTGGCACACTCATGGTGGCAATTTCCTGCAATGAACCCTGGTTAAAGGGCTGTGAAGTGGTTCACACCAGGCCTCTTACAGCCAARACACCTGGACTAAAGCAGAAATTTTCAAAATCTGCTACAGTGGCCTTCCCAAGTGGCAAGTCCTGCTTTCCRTCTAGTAAAATGGTGGTGTCATTAAGTATTTTATCAACAATGAGGTTTTCTGGCCTATGATACAAGCATTTGGGGGTTTATCCACAGATAGGTACCCYGAGAAAGGTAGGCAGGTATGCTGACAAGCCCTATTTCCTTTTCAAAAGGGTAGTTTTGGGTTACATATGCTTTCTAGCCTTCACAGGTGAGAGAGACCCAGAGACCCTTCAGAGAGCCTGGCAATTTTTCTAGTTTAGCCACACATGCCACAGTAGGGAATACCCCTTAAAGAGTCGTACCAGACCCGTCTAATAAGGCACTGCTAGCTTTTGAGCAGCTGCTCTATCCAAAATTAACTTTCATACCYATCATTAGTCAAGAGTGACTTTTCCATCACTAAAACCAGACTGCTCTGACCTTTCAATGTAGGTATCACCTGAGCTGAACATCATCTTCATTTCAGGGCACTTCCAGGACACTCCCAGAAGTGATGAATCACCCTAAAGTACATGTTTAGTTATGYCCTTAAAGTGCCTCCACCTCTCCAAGAAGTTGAAAAAGGAGCTCAAGGTAACTAACTCTGTTACCTATAACAGGCATATCTGGTAAAGGAAGACAGACTGTCAGCATAAGCTGAGTCAAAGGGTGACCTGATACCAAAAGAAATCCTGACCTCAGTTTYCCAGCTCAGACATGGCTGTATTAATTGCAATCTGTGACACCTATTACTCCTCCAGGTCCACATAGACTGGTAAATCTGCTTTCTTCATGATGGCATAAAAGCCAGACAGTCTCCTTCAAGTGCTTTGGTGGCCCAAACACATTATGGAGGTAGTTATCTACAAAGACTGAGAACAGAGGGTAGCCAAATCTTTGACAGGGAAAGGTGGAGATAGGCCTGTCTTTGTATGCTGCTTTTTTGTTTAATCTCTAAATCTTTGATAGACTTTTCTTTGAAATGTAGACAAATCACCTGACCAATTTAACAGAACCATTTGATTTAATGGAGACACTGAGAAACAGAAAGATATTATGAACAATGCTTCACATGCAAGGGCAGGTTTGCTCATAGTCTTTTTCCTGTGGTCTGGATACAAGCTAATGCTTTCCTGAGCAYAGAAATATATTGCCAATGAACAGAAATGTTAGCACATCACTGAATAATTTCTGCTGTACATGCACTTCCATCCAAGCCATGCTAGGACTATTGCCTTTTTTCAGTTTTACTGAAGGGCAACATGTCTTTGGCATCCTCAGAGGATACAAAACAGACAGAACTTATCAGACTACTACACATGTCTGCAAGGAAACCTGAAAGCAAAACAGATGATCTTGCACAAGAATCACGGACTATCAAGCTCGTGTTGTGTTGTGGAGCTGATTCTGATTGACAGAAGTTTAGAAATGGCCAGACASATTGTTGCTGTCCATTTCTTTGTGRCCTGGTTGAAGTTGGTAARTGGAAAAGACAGAATGGCCAAAGCAAATTTAAGTCAGCTTTAAGGCAGGATTTAAAATGGGCCCCATAGAGTTAAACATTAGCAGGGCAAAATGACCTTACTTCTCAGYTTTACTTTCTTTTTTCATCTTCCTCTCCTCTTCAGTTATTCCTCCCAGCTGTCTGTAGTTGCTRTAGGCAATTTCTAGAAGTCGCTGAAGTTCTTTAATCTTGTGATAGGCCCTTACTGTAAGACAGAGTTCTCCAGGTTGGTAAAATGCATGRAGAAGACAGTAATGCTGGAATCCAATAGTCTGAATAATAGTCTCACAAACACAAGAGCTCAGCACACTGCTGAAGCAAAACACACTGCTCAGCAAACACTGAGCTACACCTGACACCCACACAGCAAGCAGATCTCAAAAACAAATAGCAACCCAACACTGTTGCACCAACAYGGATTAAAATGGTGTAAGAATTAYGATCTGATTGCCCTCTGCCTGCTTTCTAACTTCCCAYAATTTGTCTGAATGTTCAGTATTACAGATATCCTGTCAACCATCTCATCTTACAACAAAAAGATCAGAGCAGTTGGCAGGAAATGTCCTAGTTAGGACTATAATGTCTTGATACCAACCTTTTCAAAYAAGAAATTATGGAAATACAGTGCTTACTGCGTGCATTCTTTTTCTCTGTTTTATCCAGGGTTAAATCTTCTTTGCTATCTGTACTCCCTTCCACACCATGTGTTTCAAAAAACTTTACATTGTTTGCATCTAGTTCTTCATCACTACAGTTACTGTCTCCAGTTCTTGGTGTCAAAAGTGCCACAGCTGCCAGATGGACAAATCTGCAACAGAGAACAGTAAAAATCTAGAAAAACACATGTGGTAGTAACTCTCTGAAACTGTYCATGTTCCCATTTATCAGAGGGGTTTCAGGATTAAAGGAAGCACTAGCACACACACTATCTATCTACTATCAACTATCTATCTACTTTTTCTAGTATTCTTATGGCATGAGCTCTGCTTCAATGGAATTTCATGGCAATGGCTCCTACATCAGAGGCATCTTTTTCCTTTGCAGGACTTCTCAATTAAACCTCATCAGAAACTGCATTATTTTTATTAATGCAAAAATCAGCTGGCCTCTGCTACTTCTCATTTACTTTGTACAGCAAACTGCGAGGATACTGGCTGAAAACTGTCCTTTTGCATATGAGCTAGTTTTCCTCTTTTGTGTCTGATCTCGCTAAAAAAATTAAGTGAAAATGAAAACCTTTTTGTAGCTACAATACAGCTTTACTTATCACTCAGAGCTGGAATTCATGGGCCTGATCTGTTCTTTCTCCATAATTGAAAATTAGTATTAATTCCAACAAAGCTGACATGATATTGATAAACAAGTAGTAAGTAATTAAGTATCAGAGCTACAGGAKATGTACTGCTACCTCTTGGCTACATCCTTTGGAGTCTCTCCAGCATCATTTGTAATGTCACAGTCAGCTCCCATTTCAACCAACCACTGTAAGCAATGGATATGCCCCTGTTCAGCAGCTAAGGGAAGGAAGGTGCACACAAGTCAGTTATATACAACTGAAGTGTTTCAAACCTAAAATGTCTTTTTCTTGCCATTATTTGACAATAAGGCCAGAGTCTGGGCTCACTAAGACACCACAAGGGAGTTACTATCTTATCTCAAGAGAAGCCTGTGTGTCAAGATGCTCACATCATTTGTGCGCACACAGTTTTGGGGAAGATCACGTAGAGTGGGTTGGTGACTCCTCCTTGTTCTAGAAATGCACTGGCAGCTCTTCCTAGATACAAGTTACACTAAACTTGCCCAGTCTCACGTGCTGAGCACAGGACACAGACATGACTGCTGCCTTAGCAGGAAAAGCCGGTATGTCACAGCTTGGTAGCAAAGCGCTGCCACCTCACCCTGGTTGCCAGGGATCAGACAGCTGGGGCCCCAATCTGTGGTGTGTGCTGCTGTCTCAGAAGAGAGAAGMAGGACTTTGTGCTGGAGCTAAAGCCACGTCATTTCTTGGGGCAGATACTGAAGGCAGCACTTCTCAGCAGTATCCTAACACAACCCTACAGATAGGATCTGGCAAGGCTGCTGCTCCCACCACGTGGTGCCATGAACAAAGTCTCACTTATGGAAGATGGTATTTGGCAATACAGCTGAAAACAACTGTGTGCTGTTTCCAATCCATTTCTTGACAGCACTCCCTTTTGAATATTTGTTATATGTGTTTTCTTACTGAGATAAGGAAAGGAAATTACAGCATCAGCATGTAAACACTACTGGATGAAACAACTGTAGTTCAGCATTAGTCCAAGAAAAGGAAGTGGGATTTTATTTCACTTATATCTAGTCAAAAAGAAAAGTGGGAAATGTGTTAAAAGCATATTACCAAAATGCTTTCCTCTTTCTTTCTTACTTCTTCCATTTCTTCTTTCAGACAATACTGTGAAACCCCCAAACACTAGAGGACCACCTTTTCTGCAGTTCTAACAGTCCACCACATRTCAAGGCATCAGCCAGAAGTTTACCTTTCTTCGCAGCATCCTACCAAATGACTTTCTTGTAGTTTTTACAACATATCCCCATAGTACTGATAAGTTCAGTAAATAAGGGCCCAGGCCACAATACAGATCATTCTTATATCTAACCAGCTCATTCTTATATCTAACCAGC